TGTCAGTGCTTGTTCACGGTTGATCTCTGTCTCCTTTCAAAAATGGGATGACGAACAAGTTCTTTGGCTGAAGGACGCCGGATAGGGCATGGGTCCATCATGACCTAAGTTCAGTAAATTTATAGACAGAGAAATAAGTCAGCCGCTCCGGGAACATTGAAAATGTATCCAAAACTAGTGGGGATCGAATAAGGACGAAACCTACTTTACATTTAACTCAGAGCAAGTACCTACCTTGAGTAGATTCTGAAACTGCAATGAATGGCCTGGCAGAAGAGGCATTTTTCCTTCCCTGAGGTTCATAAAATGAAGCCCGCCTTCTGGCAGGGAACAGCCTCTGATAAGCTCATGCACTGAAGCACCCAAGGAAAAGATATCAGCCTTGTCAAGGTGATCATAGTTCTCATTGAGGATTTCTTGCGGCATATAGCGTGCATCGCCCTCTTCAATTGGCAAGCTACTATCCAGTAGTGTTGCACATCCAAAGTCTCCTAGCTTATAAACACCATTTTTTACATATATATTGTCTGGTTTTACATCTAAATGGGCTATGCCTCTCTCATGCACAAACTCCAATGCCTTGGCAATCTGCAAATTGACACAAGTCAAAAGCAAGAGGAGGAATTATTATTATTTTAAAATGGATTGGAATCAATTATTTAGTATGGGTTGTCTCGCATGCATTTTGACCCAGTTTAATTGCCCTAACCCAATCATGAATTGAATCAAGTACCGAGCAAAAAATGCTTACCTGATGCATTACTTCCAATATTTCCCCTTCTGAGTATAATTTAGTTCTCTTGATGGATAGGCTGTGATCACAGAGTTCCATCTGTATATAAAGTTTCTCGTTTTCAAACCACGAAGAGTAATAGCCGACAATGTTGTTGTGGAACCCTGTAAATACAGAATGATAAATTGTTCTCATAAATATACATGAACTATAGGATAAGTGCATCACAAGGTGAAAAACTTTATAAAGCACTTGCCAAGGGCAGCGAGAGCTTGAACTTCCATTAAAGCCCTTCTCCTTAAAGAAACAAAACAATAAAGTGGAGTTAGCAGAAGAGCCCATTTTAACATACAAACATAGCCTGCAACGAATGAAGTGAATACCTTTCAGTGTCCAGATACAATTGCTTTGTGCTATGTTTCACTGCATACATGCAACCATCAATTCGCTTCAAGACTTTGAAAACATGACTGAAATTTCCACAGCCAATTTGCTGATACACACAAACAATTGGAAGTTACCAAATTGTTAAGAAAGATAAGGTACTAGTTGTGACTGTAAGACTAATGTAAATAAATACCTCAATTTCGTGAAAATCTGTCCGGTAGCGTGAAAGGCCATCATTTTCCAGAACTGCAGGATAAAACGCTACAAGTTCCAAGGGTTGTCATTGGAATCTTACTAAGAAAATGAAAGTCTACACATTTTATAGAATACTATGCCTTAAGAAATTATTTATTTCCTCTCTATGCCAAAATAATTGTATTTCATTTTACAAAAGAACATACATATTAAGGATTATATGTTAAGGCATTTATCACTTAGTAAGGTTAATGGATGTTTTGGTTAGTTTTGTTACTATAGTAGGCAAAACACTGATTAGCACTACATTTGTTTTGCTTGCTATGGTTTCTCTTTGATATCTACGGAGTTGTTTGTAAATACATCATTTATATTGATGATAAGTGTCGAGGCATTTGATATTCCTCAATTTATGTTCTGAGACTCTATACTTCTCAAATCAAGGTTGTTTTGATAATTAAGATTCTCTCAAACATTAAAGTTTAATTAGAACCGTCTCACAATGCACGGCATGCAGCATGTGAGTATAAATTACTAGTAACCAACAAGATTTAGCAAAAATTAAGTTAGGATATTCTTGGCAGGAATTGTTTTTATAAACGTTGCACAATACAAATTCACATTAATCAGCCAAAAGATTGTCCATCGCATGCACATTCTTCTTGTGCTAGTGCATATTTTGAGGTGGCGACAAAATCTGACTTATTTACAACTATGCCACTGTGTTTCCCAAATGATGCCAAAAATTCACTATTTTTTTGGCTTTCGGCGTGATGGAATAAAGCAAAATAGATTTCTAAACTGTCTGCGCTTATTTAATCAATGAAGTAGTAATTAGTCAACCAATGCAACTTTCGGCGTTGAGTCGGGGGTATTGTTGGAAACAGCCTCTCTACTTTCGAGTAGGGGTAACGTCTGCGTACACACAGCCTCCCAGACCCTACTCTTGTGGGATTCAACTGGGTTGTTGTTGTTTGTAATCAGTCAAAAGATCACAAAACCAAGTGGGGTATGTTAGAATATATCTTATCATTAATATTCATATGTGATCATGTCACTGGACTTGTAAGTTTATGAAGTCCATATAGTTTAGGATATTAAAGGGTTTAATAATAAAATAAATCTAGGTAAGATTGAAACTAGGGTTTCCCAACCCCTTCAACTCTATAAATACACACCTTATTAGGAATATAACAACAATATTGGTTTGAGAACATTGCCTATTGAATGTGCCATACAAGAGGCTAGAGGTGACAAGGGATTTGTCTACAAATATCCATCATTGATATCATATATCAAGTTATTCCTGTTTAAGATCTGATTATGTATAATTTATGGTGTCAAACTTGGATTTAACCTCGTAGATGGGAGTGTTTTAAAGACCACAGTTTCTCAAAGTAAAACAAACACAAACTTCTGGCAAGGGAAAAAACTAATACCTGCATATTTTGATCTTCGACTTCCAAACGGATCAATATCTGCTACTAAAGCATCTTTGAGGTATGGGTTTTGAATGCAGGGAGGAGGCATAACTCTACACCTTAAGGCCATGGCAGATTGTGAAATATAACCGTGATTATTGGGTGGCTTGGTTGTTTTTCCCAATTTCGTCTCATCTACCACAGATGTATCATCTGCAGCATCAGGTAGTTGTGTGCTACAAAATTTTGAAGTAAAAGAAACTGAAAGACCATCTGCAAAAATGTAGACAAAAAGTACTGAATAAGAGTGCTAACAAGCAGCACTAACATGCCAACTTATGGGATGAACTACTCTATTCATGACATTAATGAAGACATTCTAATAGTAAGAAAATCATAGCGAGGTGGATATAGAGGTCTGGCAGGCTATGAGGCAGCTGTGAAATACAATGCTTGGCTGACAACAAAAGCATCATCATTGATAAGTTAACACCAAGTGGGCAGTATGACTCCATTAAACCTGTGGAGAGGTTACTTTCAGAATGACCCATAATATCATACTCAGGTTGCAAGCAAGAACATTCTCCAACCAATTATTTTCTAGAACTAGTAGTTAGCTAAACACGTCGCCCAACCAATGGTTTCTAAATACTTTTACTTTCTCTTATGTTACACCATGCTCCTTAACACTAATAGCTAGCTTCCCATCTTTCCATCAAGATGAAAAAACTTCAAGAACTCCCACAAGCAATGTACAATAAATGACTCATTAAACACTCTACTCAATCATGAACAGAAGAAAAACAATTGAAACTACTGTAAAATAGAGTAAACAAACTCGAAAATAGAGTTACCCATTCTCTGCCTTTTGCTTCCAACGGATTTTACTTTCTCGGGTGACTTGGGACAAATTAAATTATCCTGTAAAGAGGATTTCCCAATATTAGACGGTAAACCCAATGATATTATAATTTATATGCTATGTACAACATTTGAAAGGGAAAGAAGAAAAAAGGAAAGATAATTTACCACCGTTTCGGAATCCAACCCATTTCGAATAGCTGGCACCTCGGGGGTAATGTAATCAGGGGTACTACACAAGAAAACACAAATCAATTACAAATCAAAGCATAATGTAAAGAATAAATTGAACCTCAAACGGATGAATTGAAGCTTTACCAGAAGAAATCTTGGCTAAGAATGAAATCTTTCTCATCGAGACCAGCATCAGAAACAGCGCCGGAGCTGACACAGGACGTAGACGGTAAATGCGATTGGGCCAAATGTAACTGAGATTCAACAGCCGGCCGTGCTTTCTCATCCCAAACGCTCCGGAGTCCAGCGGATTTGGATGCGGCAGCTGAGGTTTGCTGCGGGAGTGAGAAGAGAGACGTTTGACCTCCGACTCCGGCGCCGGCGCCGACAGTCAGGTGCTTCGTCAGGGAACTCTTCAACTTCTTCTTGCTTCTTAGATTGCCTCTTTTCAAGGTCTTCCCCTCCATCATCCGATCCGGGAAGCTGTTAAATCTCCTTCGAGTTTTCTCAAAGTGTTTATCAACCACGAATCGAATCTGACAGTGTATATATGTCTCGGGTTTGGTGGGAGATGAGACGTCTGCTTTGGACAGTGGTAAATCTTTTGAAAATTTCGCGGGTTGCAAATTGGGGAGTTTTAAGGTACTAAAAATGTACCCCAAATATACCTCCTGCATCACCACAAAAAAGATAAGAAAAATTCCAAAAGAAATAAAAATAAAAATAAAATAAAATGAATGATAAAGAGGAGGGTGGTGTACATTTGGATATACCTTTGGTGTACCCCTAGCATATCACGTTTAAAAATATGTGGTCTTAATATCTCTTCACCATCTGCTCTGATCCAGCCCGAAAATGGATATCGGATCTGATTTCATAGCTTTCGGATATTTTTTATTAGATATCCAAAAAAATTCGGATCAGATATAGAATGAGATATTAAGATTTTGGATATTCATAGATATCCGAAGTTCATATTTAAAAACATAAATCTAAAAATAAACCTTAGACAATTTATGCTCAATTCATTTTCATCATCATAAATATTTAAGAGTAAATTACACATATAGGACCAAAAGAGGGCCCTTTTCCGTTTTTAGGAGCAGTCCTATTTTTGTCCACGTGGCTTGTAGTTAAAAGACTTCTATGCCCTCCAATTTAGACTTTAATGAAAATAAAAACAAAAAAGAAGATATGCGCTGATTTTTGGAGAAGCGCGAAACTGTAGCCGCAGCATCCGCCGTAGGTGATACCAGCACGAGTTTCCAAGTTTGTCTCTACTTCTCCTGCATGCCGACTTGTGCCGGTATCGTATAATAGATCTAGGATTCCGTCAATCGGGGATTAGGGCGTTATCATACTGAAATTGAATTGAGGAGAAGACATGACGACCAGGAGCAGTACAGCGAAGAAAATGGCGAACAGAGAACGGGTAGATGACGATGATGATTTCGTTGACAAGATTCCAATAATAAAGACCATGCATTTAGTAAAGACAACCTCAGGGCGAGTAAGTTCTATAATTGTGGTTCTTAATTTTTTTATTAGGTTATAATCCCTGAAATGAGGTGTTGTAAGTTTGCCGAGGTTGCATATGTCTTGTTTGTGAAAATGTCTGTGGTGTTGAAATGACTTGCAGTGTTTTTAATTATTTATGTACTTTAGCATCATGTGAGTCTTTGTGAAGAAATTAGGTATGGACTGGAGTTTAAAGACATTGTGGTTGTGAAGAAATTAGTTATGTACTTAAGCATCCTGTGAGATCTATGGTTGTGTGATTGAAATGATTTGGCCTGAAATTAGTTATTTGCCCTATTTGTCTGGTGAATGTAGTGTTTGAAGTTTTTTGTTTGGCAGGGATAGTGACCAAATTTTGCTTGAAAATAGGTTTAAAGACTTTACACTGGTTGTAATAATTTTTTTCTTCTTTTAAGGTTTTAGAAGATGGTTTTGAAGTCTTTGAGTTGTCTGTAGTGACCAAAGGTGGTCCTGAGTTTAGGATTAAAGACTTATCACTGATTTGATTTAGAGTTAATGACTTTTAAGAGTAATGACTTTGTTATCATTGAGTAAGGTGGAAAGGTTTTCAAAAGGTGGTTTTATTGATATTGTATTGTTTGTAGTGACTAGATCTGGGCCTGAGATTATGTTTAAAGACTTGTCTCTGGTCTGATTTAGGATTAATGACTTTTTATATGATGAAAGTTAAAGACTTTGTACTGGTCTTTAAAAAATGTTGAAATGGGGATACTGAACTTTAAGACTTTGATTTTTCAAATGGTTAGGAATTTAATAGGTCATTAAGGGTTTGGGTTTTAAACTGATAAATGTAATGCCTGGTATATGTTTTGACGTTGGATGTTTTGCTACAGGTGTACAAAAGGTTGTGTGATGAAGAGGTTTTGGTCGGGAAAGCAGGGCTTAAGGTGACTTGCTTTTGTAATGTGTGGGTGGGTGCAAAAAGTATTCGAGATGCGGTGAGTGCTTCAGAGATGGCTGAATTGAAGGAATCTGCATTTGGATTTTTCTTCAAGCTTGGGGGAATTAAATGGGTGAATGGTCAGCTGTTGATTTTATTAACATTAAATCATGTGGAACCCATTAACAGGTGTGGAGATGTAGATAGAATTAAGTTTCACATTGGAGACAGAATTGTGGAGTTTAAGAAATCTGATTTTGCGTTGATTACGGGGTTGAAGTTTGGAAAGGAGGCTGAGTATGGGGATACTGACCTGGAAAAGGCAAACGACATCAGTACAAGGTATTTCAATGGGAAAATGAGCGTGACACGTATACAAGTGGAGAATGTGTTCAACAGTATCAAGAACAGCAGGGGTAGAGAACGGTTGGATGCTGTTAAATTGGCTTTACTGAACTTCCTTATGAACCATGTGGTGGGTAACCAGGGTTTGACAAAAATCCCAGCGCTATACATGCATCTTGTTGACGACCTGCGACGTTTCAATGGATTTCAGTGGGGAGAGCATCTCTGGAATGACATGGTGGAAAGCTTACGAAAATGTTCGTCAATTCTCAACACGGGAGAACATTGCCGTTTTACGTTTCTAGGCTTCTTATTCCCACTACAGATTTGGACGTTTGAGACATTCCCTTCTTTGCGTGAAAATGGAATATGCATTGTGGGACAGAAGAGGAGCAGTTTGACTCCTAGGGCATTACGCTGGGAGACGGGGAAGCGCCCGATGCATGACCTGCTAGAGGGCTCAATTTTCGGAACAGAAGAGGTTAAGACGAATGCATTTCTAATCTCATACGTGAATGCTTTTCTTTAATTAGAATGTATCTGATATTACTTTATTCACTGCAAGAAAGTGTTCAATGGACAGAGATGGCTGCTACGACAGCGGAGAAAGGGAAAGAAAAGATTGCAATGTTATTCTCTGCGGGAGATGCAAGTAAAGCTAATATTAACGATGGTGGAGGAGAGCACGTTGATGAAGGGTATGGGGCTCGTCGTATAAAACTTAAAGGAAAGTTACATTGGGGAAATGTGGACTCTACAAACGAGGAGGAGACAAATGGGCAGGCAAGGAGAAGGGAAAGGTTGTGATCCGCAAGAAGACAAAAGGGCAGAAGACGGATAAGAAATCAGACGGGTCACGCGGAGGTACTTCAAGAGGTGCACCACAAGGGAGGCAAAGTGATTTGGGAGAAGGTCGGGAGAATGAACCATCATTGCGAGATATAATGACGGCAATAGTGGTTATGGAAAAGAGAAACATGAAGATGCGCATAGAAGTTACGAAGCTGCGGATAGCTTTAAATGCCCAGAGCCGTGTCCTTAATAGGTTTATATCAATGAACAGGATGGGTAAGCGTTGGCGTAAGGGCAAAAAACGCACAACAGAAGATAATGCGATGCCAAGCTTTGATTTGGGGTTTGAGAGTGAAGAGAAGAAAGATGCCACCGAACCTGATGTTGATGATGACGTTTGGGACGAGGGTATTAATGTTGATGCTGAGATAGGGACCTAACCGGGTGAGTTTCGTAATGATCTTTCTGATCCGTTGAATGAGATATGCACTCAAGAAGTAGAAGGCAGGTGGGTGAAGGCCGTAGATACCTTGGGCCTAGGGAAACGTCCTGAGAGGAATGTAGAGAATGAGGATTGCGGAAAAGGGCCGACGCACATGGTGGAAGTCGACATGCTCTTGGGTGATGTGGGCACAGCCATAGGTGTTGAGGATGTGCTGCGTACTGGCGTGTATCAAACCAAAGCAGCATCTCAAGTAAACGGAGACATGTCAGCTATGAATATGAGTGGTCAGGGAAATGTAAGAAATTTACGAAATTTGATATTTAGGCATGTAATTAATGCAATTTATAAATTGATACAAAGTTGACATAATGACCTTTGTAGGAAATTAAGGAAGATGTTGCAGGGTTCACTGGCAAGTTCGAGACAGCATCGCAAGTTATACAGGTTTATGTCGTAAAATTCTTTCTTGAGATATGAGTTATTTTAAATAATTATTATTTTAAACTTTGTGTAACGTTCGCAGGCTGTGCAGGATTTACCACCGGGATGGATTTTTTTCACACAACCCAGGGAGAGCCCGGTTCAAATTGAAAATAATTCAACTGAGAGTAATGTAGACAGGAATTCAACATAGGGGGTTTTAAATGATTCAACTAATGAGGTGAGATCGGTTGTTCTCTTTATGACCATGTTTTATAGTAATTGACTCCTGTGCTAATGACATGGCAAGTGGGAGTGGTTGTAGTGACATAGTAATAATGGCCTTACTAATAATCTAGAATAATGAGGTTAACATGTAGGTTTTGAACGGCTTGTTTGAGAATAATGACCAAACCTTTGAGATGGGGAAAAAACATGGGTAATGACCTCATATTAAGGGAGTGTAACAAGTCCATATGATTTCATAAATTCGGTACACAAATTTATGTGAATGACGAATTATGTGTGTGTATGGTTGCAAAACCTTGAATAATGACCAACAAAAATTTATTGGGAAATCTTGCTTAATGACTTGAAATAATTACTTCGTAATGTTAATGACCTGTAATACATGGGCGCAGCAGTGATCTTGTTTTAGCCTAAGGCAACAGGTCAATAAGGAATTTACTAGAAATATGCCAGGTAAATGGCATGTGTTTTAACTGCATTATGCAATTTAGACACATGTGAATATGCGTTATTAGTCGTATTGGGAAATAAATGTTAGGGACAGGTATTGAGGACGGGAAACGGCATTGATCTGCTAAGGGCCGTGTATGAAGAGGTTCAGGATCCTGAGGATGATGCTGAGGTGGTTGTTGAAGAACCATCAACACAGATTGTGGTATTTTTTTAATTTATTAAGCTTGTTTATGACTGATAACCATTAACCATTATCTTAATGAGGAAGAATACTACATGTTATTCCATAGTGTTTAAATATTGAATGATTCTCAGGTGTATGAAGCACCGATTGCAAGTGAGACACCACCGGAATGGAGGGCAAAGGAAAAGAGGCCCTTGAAGTGTCCAGACAGGTTCACTCCAGATGATTTAGCAGTTCAGCGTAAAAGAAAAAGGGTTAGAACAGAGGGTGTGCGTGTAACCCATTTTCGGGGAGATGAAGATGAATTCATGGGTCCATTCCCGTTAGACCCGAAGGGGATGCCTGCTGAGGAGGCATTAATGAAGGTTGAGACGTTTATGTACCAAGGACTTTTAAAAAACCACCTTAGAGTATCGGGGCGCAAGTACCGGGCCCCGGATGATGTGCTTGACCCAAGTTTATACAAGGGTCACTACGACGAGGAAGAGACACTAACAAAGACCTGGTACTACAACATATTTTTCCCCTGGGGATGGCTTTCGGATAAGGTAAACATTGATTTAATTCACGGAGTATGGTTGTAACATTTCTTGGCGAAGTATCAAAGTAATACGTTTGTTTTGGTTGTAAATGCAGCACCTAGATGTCATATTCTACTACCTTAGAATGAAAGGAGTAGAGTTTGGGATGGAGCAGCGTTACACAACGACAGACACCCCATTTCTTGCATTGATGAAGACATTATGTGCGATGTATATGAATAAGGAACTAACAATTGAACAAGCAACGCGTAATAAGTCAGTAAGAAGTACGATCATGGGAGGGAAGATGGAATACGGTTGTCCGTGGCAGAGCGCAGGTTTTGTATACATGCCGCTGAATACTGGGAACCCTTGGACATTGTTGGTGCTGGACATTAAAAAGAAGGTAATCAGAACGTATGACTCGAGCATCAGGAGAAACGATTCAAAAAGAAAGCTGCAGCCATTTTTGCCATGCTTCCAAATGTTCCTGCCTAAGATAATGGATAAGTTGGGCATGTATGACGGACGGGAGGAAGGTCCACTGGGAGATGATGTCTTGGCGGTTGAAGCTGGATCGTGCTGCCCCTAGCAAAACGACGGGTATGATATATTTTGGTCTGTATAATGTTATATGCAATGCGTGTTTAGTAAATTTTTTTACTTGACGTAGGTCAAGTTGTGGGATGTTTGTGGTGAAGATGGCTGAGTTTCTGATGATGGGGTGCGATGTGGGGGATATGGATGATCATGAAATTGCTGCCTACAGGAAAAAGATGACTGTGGAGTTGTTTGCATACTCTGCCATGTAATGTTAATGAATTTGTGGTGCTTGAAAATAGTGCCCTAGTCCAGGATCTGTTTTTTTCATAATATGCATGTAGTATCCATACTTTTGTTGGTGAAACTAGACATTCTAAACACGTGGTCGTATTTTGTTTAAATTTGTTTAAGGTATTTGGCAAGTTATGGTCATGCATGGTTTGGAAATATTCAGATTTGTTTTTTGAATAGAAGTACTTGGCATAGTTGGACGAATCCATGGTTGTGGTGTTTATGTTCCACGCACATTATGAATGCATAGATTAGTTGTGTAGAATTATTTTAGTATTGTTCTTTACATTTATTTACATATTATTTTCTAGATAGATCGGGAAACAAGTAGAGGGGGTAGACTTCCCTTTCCCCGTGAGTAATAAAAACATGGCGTGAATGTTGAGAAATGGTTATTCTGGTCATTAACGACCTAATGTTGAATGTAATTTTTTTTAATTTCATAAAATGGCTTAATAATGGATATGGTGGTGGATAACGTTTTTTTTGGGTGACATGAGCTTGAGTAAATACAAATGGAAAATGAGGAGTAATCATACATTTGGAGATTTAAGAAATGGTTACATATATGGAGGAAGTCATTATGCTTAACTGTTATGTAAACAAATTTTCGTAATTGAGAGGATGTAATGATAACGGAGAGGCATATAAATGACCATAATTATATTAAATGTATGTGTTCACTGAAACGGTAAAACCAGACTAAACAAACCCACGAATCAACCACAAAATTGTCTTGATAGCGTCTTGATATGGAGTCAATCACGACTCAAAGAAATGGGATTAGTGCACGTCTTCCTATTGTGACCCCGAGATTTGCATCGTGAGCACGACTGCCGCTTAGCATGCTCACCTTTGGACGGGATCCTTCGCTTCTTGGGCCTTCCAGGAGGACGTTTATCGCATGATGGTGGGAGGCAAACAACCTCTGCGACCTCATCGGACACAACCCAAGATTCTTTAGATGGGATGGGGTGTATGATGCCTGAATATGTAGCTCTCCATCTAGTATTGGTGTAAAAGGATGAGACGTAATCATAGCAAGACTAACCGCTTCGACAACGCGTTGCAGCGACCGCATGAACACACACAAAATGGTCCAGCTGGAATTCACAGCAAGTGCACGTCGTATTTTGAAAGTTCACTACAAACGAACGACCATTCTTGTCAATGACAAGGAACTCGAATGAACAAGCTGGCCTAACCTGAAAAACCAAAGCAACACCATTTTGCGCATAGAGAATGAGTGAGTTAGAGTTTTAAGAGATGTGGTAGGAATAAGGAAAAATGCATGTGTACGGACCTAAAAGCATTAATAATAATAATAGCCTATGATATAAATTAAACTTACTTCCATAACAGTTGAGGCGGAATGTAGTTCATTTAGCTCCGACTCGTAGAACTTTGTTAAAGTAGTTGACGTGCAGTTTGCTAAATCCCTACGCTCGTGAAACCACCTTTGAGTCCTTCCAATTAGAAAATCAACAAGTTGTGAAATTGGGTATTCACGGGGGACAGCATCAACATTGTTCATGGACTCTGCAAGGTTAGAGGTCATTATAGAATAACGTTGATTCGAGCATGATCTGGCCCACTTCTCTTTCCCGATAGATTTCAGGTAACCAATAATCCTGGGGTCATCTCTGTCCAAATACTTCAAATATCGGTCGCACTCTACTTCAGAAGCTGCCCTTGCAGCACCATAAAACTTCCAAGACAAGGACTTTTCGGATCCATGGAAATTAGTCTTGATGTTTCCAAATATGTGGAATATGCAATGACCATGGCCCACCTTAGGGTAAACAGATTTAACTGCCTTGATAATTCCATCATGCCTGTGTGATACAATATATTCCACAGGACGGTGCTTGAGTGATTGCTTAACTCTTGACAGAAACCAACGCCAATTTGCATCGTTCTCGGCATCACATACACCAAAAGCTAATAGGAATATTTGGTTATTCCCATCCCATGTAACTGCAGTTAAAAGTGTCCCTTTGTAATATGACTTCATAAATGACCCATCAATAATTAGCACTGGAACACAATGGGGCCACCCTTCTCTCCAGGGTGCAAGAGATATGAATAAGTACTTGAACAAGTGGTCAGGCGTAGTTGTGAGTTCGATCAAAGAACCAGGATTAGCCTGTTTCAGCATAAAACACATGGATGGCAATGAAGCATAAGAATCTTGTACTGTCCCAAAACAAATTTCCAGGGCCTTCTCTTTTGCAAACCACGCCTTCTTATAAGTCATTGCAATTCCGTGCTCCCTACGCATGTCGCTGAGAATAGAATTTGGGGGGTACGGCTTCGTTGTTGCATCACAAAATTTGTGTTTTACAAGCTCTGCAATAATGTGATACGTAGCTTGACGTGTTGTGCCTTGTCGAGCATCAATAGGGCATTGATGTTCACGGTTATACCTGACAACAAAACATATGAAGATTACGATTAACTTTTAAAACATGTTTGGTTAAGGACAGATATTAGTATGTAAAGAGGTGATGTTTGGTACCTAAAAGAGCATAATGTCCTGATTAGGACGTTGTTTGAACTTAAAGCTTAACACATAATGTCCTTAACATGGCATAATGTCCTCATTATGTTATTCCTAGTCAGTAAAAAAGCATAATGTCCTTAACATAATGTCCTGATTAGGAAGTTGGTAAGAAAGTAAGAGAGCATAATGTCCTGGTTAAGACGTTGGTAAGAATTTAAAGCTTAATACATAAAGTCATTAACATGGTATAATGTCCTCATTGTGTTATTCGTAGTCAGTAAAAAAGCTAAAGTGTGATAGGTAGGGGAGGATACAGTAGTGAATAGTGTGTATAGAGCTAAGTTGTGGGACATAATGGAACATAATGTCCTGATTTGGACATAATGAGAGAAAGGCATTAACAGATAAAAATGTTTAGCAGTCTTTAACAATGATTGTAAATGGACTTACGACGTCATTCCTAGTCTGTTAAATGTAGACCTTCTAAGATAACAGAGCATAATGTCCTGATAGTAATGTAAGGTGATTAAGACGTAATGAGTTTAAGGCATTAAGTTATGGCATTTTTTCAAGCAGTAAGAGGAAGTTGATAGGGGCCTATGACATCATTGTTAGTCAGTAAAAATGTGAAGTTTGATAAAGAACAGTGCATAATGTCCTCATTAACCAGAATTGGTTACGGACGTACAACGTCATTCTTAGAAAGTAGAAAGCTAAAGTGTGTTAAATAAAAGATGATAATGACCTGATTAGTGAGTAATATGATTAAGGAATAATCTGATTAAGGCATTAACAATGTGCATAGTTTTCAGTCATTAAAATGGATTGGAAACGGCCCAAGAACGTAATCCTTAGGCAGTAAAATCAAAAGTTTGTTACATAAGATACAAGGGAGGGTCTTAACAAGCATGCATTGTGTAAGGTGTGGAAATGTATAAAAACGCCATTAATAAGTGGAAATCAATACGCATCATATAATCATTATTGGAGAACAATGCAAAGTCATTAAAAAGGCCTGGGAACGGACCTACGGATCTGGAACATCTCAACGCCTGGTAAACGCACTGCCCGAACAGCCCATGTGCAACGAGGAAAATCCACACAAACAACATGAAGACAAGATTTTTTTGAGGTTCGAATCTGGTACTGGAACTGGTTAGAGATTGCTAACATCTTCAAATGGATGTCAAGGTCCTTTTTGCTAGCATAAATGGAATCAACAGCAATTCTAGTTGGATCGAACCGAGATCTAACGTGCATCTCCTTCATTGTTGCAATCTCGTGCTGAGACATTCTATAAGATGACGGGTTGGATTGAAGATAGTTATTGCAGACAAGGTCGCTGGTTTGGACATTATTCTCAGGTGTTTCATCTCCTCGAAACGTGTCGAATACCGGGCCAGGGGAAAATCACTGGATTGGTATATTGTCTTCATCCAAAGTGCACATTCTTCGGTTTTCTTCAAAATCAGAGAGAGAGGCATCTGATTCTGTAACTTCGCAGTCGCTTGAATTGGAGATGGAATGATGACAAAGGAGAGGCTGATGTAACTCCGAAAGGACTAAACCCCCTTCAGAAACGATAGTTTCTGAAAAATTATTTAATTCAACACAAAAAGGGAAATCGCGTACCCCACAATGAATGCTCTTCAACCGAATGTATGCATAAAGGCTCGTATCATCGTCGATTGCAACATGACTTGAACATGAATCAGTGACGTGCAAAATCTTAAAAACAGAATTCTCATAGGATGACGGGACCGTATTACGAATCACCTGTATCAAGTCAGTGAATGATGCGTGATGCGGAATCTGAATCTCATATGCGTATGTGTAGGAGAAGACACCATGAATGTCCCATCTGCCGTCAAATTGGAGCAGAGAATGGATGCCAGCCGGTGTGGAGAAAACTGGGACAATGCTAGAAACAGAGGCCAGCAATGAAGAGAACATGGTGTTGCGCTACTGTGATGGGCGGAAGAATTTGGTACTGGCCGGAAGAAATGTAGGAGACGGAAACCTAAATCCATGGGGAGTTACAGAACTGGAGCATAAATGAAGGGATAATGGCTAGAAAGTGGGAGAAATTATTGATAGTTATCGTGTAAATATGCCAAGGACATTAAAAAAACAAAAAGAAAAATCCCAGCATTTTGATCCAGAAGGGTAAAAACGGATGCACGCCCAAAAGTAACTCCTATCTAAGGAAAAAAAAGATACAAGTCCTATTTAGGGAAAACACATATGTTTGGGTCCTAAATGGAACAAATTTTACAATATTTAAATCTAAGCTGAATTCAAGTTTTTTACTTTAATTCTTTTTTTCTATGCTTTATTTATCAATTAGGTTGATATTCTTTTTTCATACAATTATAAAAGAGTAAATTCTATAATTGGTCTTTTATAATAAGGAAATTTTCATATTTAGTCCTCTATTTTCAAATATTACTCTCGTAATCCTTTTATGTGGTGTCTTTCTACAAATGGACATATTTTAATCTTTTGCCTTATTGGTGATAATTTAAAACATATAAGTATAACTTGACAATAACCTTATGTCCAGTAATAAATTCTGATATTGGTTAGATGAATAACACAAAAATAATGACTATGATTGTGAGTTAGGATTCCGATGAAAGACCATAGCTGTAGACAATGGTTTAGTAGAAAGCGACTATAGTTCACAAACGATTCATCAAGAGCAGCCTTTGGATTTGTGTATTTCTTTCCAATTCTTTCTAGTTTCTTCTAGTTTCTTACCGTTCTTCCAATTCCTTCTAGTTTTTTCCAGTTCCTTCCAGTTTCTTCCAATTATTTTTATTTTCTTCAAGCTCTTTCTACTTCACGACCAATTATTCTAAAAAAGATCCATTATTATTATTATTATTATTATTATTATTACTATTATTATTATTACAACTATTATGTTCATAACTATAGCTTATAAATTATTTCATTTTTCATCTCACTATTTTTATTATTCACACTGATTATTATTTTTTCTTCAACTTTTTAATATGAATAATATCATTTTTTGTATATTAATATACAAGAAAAAATAGGAAAGTATGAACATTTTGAACAAATTAAAAATTCTATAGATAAAATAGTTACATAAAATGTTGTTTTAATCTAAATTTGTATAAGGAAAATAGCAATATCTTAATCTAAAATATAATAATGGAATGGGTTGGGGAGTACTACATTATGAAAACCAAGAGAACTACATCTTGAAAAAGAAAAAACAACACAAAAAGTGTAAAAATACAACTATGAATGTAAAAAAAGTGTAAAAAATACAACTAACAAAAAATTATACTCTCATTTATTTGATCTAGTTTTTATTGTCTTTAATATGTAAAATATTACACATATGAATGTAAATAATCTAATCATTTTAAAAATAATCATATTGTAATAACTATACTCCGTATTTAGTATCTTCAATTAAACTTAACTGTATTGTAGAATACTAACTGCTATTTCATTTCTAAACTGCTCCATTGCATATTTAGTTTGTTCATCAAACAACATCACTTTGGGCGTATATTCCATTGTTCGCTGCCTCGGTATAGTAGAAGTAAAACATAAAAAATGTAAAAACAAGTTATATGTCTTTATTCCAAAAGTAGGATTATAATGAATAAAATCAATCATTAAAGAAAAAATAGGTTTGATTACATTTTGTGACATGTCTGATATTTAAAATAAAATCTTGTAATATATAAAGTATAACTACAAATATATTAATTTATGATAAATATTGCATAAATTAAGTTACGTGAAGCGTAACCACAATAACTTTTAAATATTTAACAATTTGATATCTGTGCCAATTTTATATTCTAATTATTTTTTTTCAAAAGTAATTTTTTATGAAAAATAACTATATTTTTTTATATTTAAAAAATTTATTAAAATAACGTGATGAAAACAACAGCAACATCATCAACAACAACAAGAATAATAATGATAATAATAATAACATTAATAATTTATAACAACAAGAATTAGAATGAAAATAATATAAAAATAAAAAAAATTTAATTTTTTTGAGATTTTCCAATTTTTTCTAATTTTTTCTAGTTCCTTCCAGTTTCTTCTAGTTCTTTCCAGTTTGTCCAACATTCAACTCTTTTTTCTAGTCCTAAAAAATAGGTTCTAAATAGGAAATCTCGCATTTATAAAGGACCAATTATGAAATTTACAGTTTATAAAATTATGACTTATGATAACACTAATAACCATAGTTTTCAGAACCAAACCGGTTATCGAATCGGTCAAGGCACTGGTTCACTGGCTTACTGGTCGAATTAGTGGTTCAAACATTATATATATATATGTGTGTGTGTGTGTGTGTGTGTGTGTATATATATATATATCTGTGTGTGTATGTATGTATGTATATATATATATATATATATATGTATATATATGTGTGTATACACTACAAGAAAAGTAGAGTTTAGCCGCATTTAATTTGCCACAATTGACTAAGTGTGGCAATAAATTTTAACACTTTGAGATTTCCCCACATTTAAAAGAGTTGTTATAAATAATTTTATGCACCCACATAATTAAGAGTGCCAAATTAATTATTTATACTTAATTTAAAAAAATGTATTTATTTTATTAAATTAATAACTCTTTAGTAATTGAAATTCTAAAATTAATCACTAAGAACCTTAAAAAATCTCGGCCCGCTTATTCTAATTCACTAAAAATCAAATCGCGCGCTTAAGTTTTTGGCCGTGTTTGGAAAACAGCATTTGTGATAGCTTTTGGCATCTTTGACTGACTTTGGTTTTTTTGATCAAGCGAACCGCCAAAACCATTGTTTGGATAATGGCTTTTTCACTTGGCATTTTGATCTAAAAAGCCAAAATTTGAAATGCCAAGGGGAGTAGCATTTGGACTTGGAGGTTAGGAAAAATAATTTTTTAAATATCATTTTTGTTGAAAGATATTTTATAATATATGTAAAAAATAAAAATAAAAATAAAAGTTAAAAAAATTAAATACTAAAAAAAATAAAATTTAAAATTTAAAAATTTCAAAAAATGAAATGAGAAAATAAAAAGCAAAAATCATTAAAAAATTTATATTTATATTTTATTATGAATTAAATGAAATTAAAATTTAATACTCCATATAGTAAAGATTTAATTTTTACATGTAAAAAAATGAAAAATAAATATCGTGCCAACAACCAATTCATTCTGCTAGTCAAACCAGCTAAACTAAACAGCCATTCACAACAGTTGGCACGAACTGCACAGCCAACATCCAATCCAAACAAGGCCTTCATCCACCGCTCAATTGTTGCGCCTAGTAATTCATCTTCTCAAAGCAAAATCTCTAAACCTAATCTATTCTGCTCTCTAACGCGGGAACCGTTCGTCTCTCTTGCGCACCCATCGCGTTCTCTCTCTGGCGCACGCATAGCATTCATCTCTCTAGGGCACATCTCCTTCGGCCTACATCAGTCTGCTTCAGTCCTTCAGCATTCATCTCTCTGGCGCCAGGTCGGTAAACCTAATCTATCGTCCGTATCATCTTAGTTCCCCTTATTTGGTTTAGATTTTGAAATTTCAATTTAATTTCTATTTTAGTTCCCCTTATTTGGTTTAGATTTTGAATTTTCAAGAATTTAGGTTAACATCCGATTGACTATGCTTAATTGAAGTTGGTATTAGCAAATTAAAACTAAGAATTTGGGGTTTACTTCTTATTAAGTACCCTGTATTTATTTAATTCTGCTTTACTTGTAATTGATTAAGCTTAATTTTCTGGCTTGTTTTAAATGATTAAGCAGAATCAAAGATGAATTTTGTGGTTTAATTCTGATTGACTAACCAGAGATTTTGTAAAATTTTGGGCCTAAAAATCTCTACATCCTTATTGTATTGCAAGATGTATACTCCTAATTGATGTAAATACTCAATAAAATGAATAGGCATTGTTTTTTGATCTCTTGTTCTTTGATCTGTTTTTTTGGAATGAGGATAGTTAATTCATAGATGAATAGGCAGATTCTTGCTTCCACTTACTTAGTATTCTTGATGATTACTGTATCACCCACACCATTGTCGAGTTGTAGCTCATTACAAAGCCCGAGAAGGTAGCTCATTACAAAGCACGATGGGGCCAGGGTTACGAACCTTGTACAAAGCTTGGAAACTAAAATCCCACATAGAACGACTATATGGGGCATCATTTAGCTCTACAATAATGACTGGATTTCCTTTGGTGTTTTCGGCAGTGACAAATGACCAGTTCATATTCCTTGCAAATCCATGCTGTATAAGTGGTACACTCAGAGTTTGAAACTATTGCATTATTAATAGAAAAATATAATGTCAATTGATTTTTACCTGCTGAATCTGGCCAGGTGTAAACTGTGGAAAACAGTGTGGTATTCCTCCACTTTGCCAATGGAAAACTGTTAGAAAATTACTTAGGTCCCTATTATTTTAATTCTAAGTATGTGCTTAGTGATCATATCATCATTTATTTTTTAATGATATGAACTTTTGATTTAGTTTTATGCTTGTATAATGTATATTACATGATATGCCTTGAAGCTAACGGTTTATGCCGCACAGATCTAATTTGAGGAATTAATGTTTCGTTCAAAGCGTACCTTTGAAGAGTATCAACACTTGCTTGAAAACGAAGGCGGAGCTCCAAACGACTTTACTATGCATGATATAGATGAAACTTATAGTGAAGAGGATAATCACTACGATAATGATTATGGAGATGATGATGACTCGGATGGCGTGTTCAAAATTTTTGTTTATCTTTTTATTCTTTTAGAAGATCTTATATGTGTCTTTGTGTGTGTTTAATATTTGCAGGCTACTGGTTTGTGCAAGAATAGGGCAGAACCAAATCTGTTAAATACAGTACTACGCGAAAAGCTAGACAAATCTATACTTGTAAGTGCATTAAAAAGTGTTCTTCTAGGCAGAGGGGGGGAATAGTAGGGTATATGAAGAATTGGGTATTTCCTCTCTATGTAATTGGTCTCCCCCTTAAAAAACAACCAACTGATTCTCACTTTTGTCTAATCTGCCATTTTGAATCACAACTTCAGCCTTTTTGTTCTTCTCTACTTCATCCACCTTTGATTCCAAGCTTGTTGATTCTGGCGCGTAGTCTATATTTTTCCATTGGAGTCGTCTGTGGGCTGTATAACAGCTTCCAAGGCCATTGAATTTGAGCAGTTCTCAGTTTGTGTGCACATAGTCGAAGGTTTAGCCAAATTTCTCTCTGAAACAATACATGTATTCTGCTTTTGGAGCTTGTCCATTTTCTGTCCAACATGTTGAGCAGCAAGGTCTTCCTCTTCAAGGACCAGCTTAAACCAAATGTCAAATAAAGTATTGAGCTGGGTGACCTTCTTCGAAAAGGTTTGACTTTGATCATCCAGTTCAGTGAGTTTTGTACTCAGCAAATTGACAAAATCATGAAGATTCATAATTTCCTGAAGTGCCATTTCCAGTCTGTCAGAAAATTCCTTATTGCTAGATATAAGTTCACACTTTTCTATCTCTAAAGTCTTTGAGATATTGCTCAAATTTATCAATTCATCTACTTTGTGTCTTGATTCAAGATTCAACTCTTCCCATTTAGACTTCAAAGTCTCAATAGCCAATCCATCAGATTTGACAATTTCTTCAAGCTTCATAGTGTTAAACTTATTTAAACAACTAAGTGGCACTATAACTTTCATGCCCCTGACCCCAATTAATTGGGACTAAGGTGATGATGATATCATGATACTACATATACAAAGAGATGACCTGTAAGATGTTGAGCTCTAATTTTCGTCTTCAATAATGCAGAATAAGAATATAGGATAGAGTGGGATGCCTTTCACTATTTTGCATCTGTCTTTTTATACTTAGGTATCACTTTTTTTTCATAATTCTTATATGATAGAGATTTAATTCAAAGTTTTTTGGACTTTGCAGGGGCCGAACAAAGATAATAACACAAGAAAAGATGGTAAAGCTTTTTTATAAACTGAAGTCAGGCTTGTGCATAAGAGAGCAGAAGATTAATTTATTTTGGCATGAGTGGTCCTTGTGAAGATAACCATTCTTTATTATGTGAGAATATATATGGTGAAGATCAACGGTGGTTGGAGAACATATCATAGAATACTGAATATATATTGCATTCCTTTTTAATTTTGAACTCATATGTTTTGACTCTAGATTTTTGATATACTCCGTACTACCCATGGAGGTACTTATAATTTCATAATGCATAGCTTTTTATATGCAATATTAGTAAGTTAATTTAATTTAAACTTTGATTGTCTTGATTTTATATATATATATATATATATATATATATATAAAGAAGAAAAAGAACAAGCGGCAGGCTTCTGATGGTTATGAGGATGAAAACTTTGATTTGGACTATGCTTATTGAGTAATGTTTTCTGTGCACCTATATTAGAATTTAGACCATTTTGATTTTTGCTCTATACATTTAGCTCTCTGAAGGAGTTCTTCCTTCTGCTGATGAGGGACAATAGCCCTGGGTATGCAGAATCTGGTTTTGCATTTACGGCGCATCCATAAAATAAGTTTGTTTACAGGATTCAATTTCCAGGAGTCTGATCTCACGCATTACAATGTGTTCTTTTTCGGCTTAAACATGCAGGGATTACTTGGTATTCACTCTTAAGGGTCCATTAGGAGGTTTTACTTTGGGATTTTACTTTGTGTGAGCAGAGTTATTACTTTGTGCCTCTTATGTTCAGCCTTTAGTTCCTGTTTCAAGGATATGATGCTTTGCTAAAGAAGACATTATTACTCAAGGGACAATATTGCACAGAGCTCTTCCCCAACATTATAAGAGAAATAGTTGTCGTTCGTTCTCCATCCAAAGGAAGATAACCAGAATGATGAGGAACTCCACCAGTATCAAGAATTAGCTTGATAACGACATCCATGATGAACTTAAAAAAAATTACGGTGAAGGTGAGGGGGGAAGTCTCTAATTATAGAGATAGTAACTTTCAGTTTAAATAAGAAAATGGTTAGGGGATTTACCGTGTAAAAAAAGTGAGTAATTACTTGAGATCTTTGAAGATTTCTTGACGGAAGAGCAGCACGTTGAGGGCCAACTCTGTCAAAAGGACGTTAGTAGGATCACTGAGCGCAGATTCGCAACAGTACTAGTAGTTTCAGTCAATTCAATATTTACAACGGGAATATCTGACAGTAATTACTAATGTACGATGGACTAGTCAATATCGAATAAACAAGCGTACCACCTAGACATAAATAAAATGATACGTTCAAAACAGTAGCGAAATGTCTAGAAAGATGCAACTCAAGTTTGTATCCCCAACGGTAAGATCAAAGATCTCACTACAATAAAGACACTATTTGAAGTGTAATATAAAAGGGGAAAGAGCGAGAAGAAAACATCATCCATACTCAAATAAGCAAAGTAAAAAAAAACAAATCCTTACTTGAGGTACCCAATGGCCAACAACAGAATGAGAGCAGGAAACATAGTGCGAGAAGAAGATCGCCAACAGAATCACCTCGAGAGAAATCCCCACAATACACCCAACGAGCGAGCTTGTCTTCCAAATCCTAACCTAAGAGTTGTCATTAGTAGGCCCGTTCCGCCGGCCACACTACCCCGTTTGTGGATACCATCGCGGTTACCCCCAGGTTTTCACGAAGAAAGTCGGTCTCCTCAGGTTCCAACTAATACCCCTCGAATTTCCACATCATCATCCACCAACTCGAGCTACTCAACAATGAGCACTCGAGAGGCACTCACGAATGTGATGGACTCGAACTGCCCTACTTTCGATGGAAGTGGGAGTATGAATGGAGCGCATAGATGGATGAGGAGGGTGGTTGACACCTTTCGTGACCTTGGACTCTCCGATGATTTGAGGATCCAAATAGCACCAGAATTACTAATGGGAGCAGCACGAGTTTGGTGGGAAGTAGATCCAAAATATATTCCCCTCACATTCTTCCTGCAAAAGAGAAATAAATACCTTAGTGAAGTTGTGTCCCTTTCTTCATTAATGGTGTGGGACCTCAACTTTCTATCTCCACAAAACTTCTGCAAAGGCTAGCAACCAAAACCATGTCCATGCTATAACTTTCTATCACCCTATGCTATGACTAAGGCATGTCCAATTCTTCACTTAATGAGAGGGGGCCCTAGTTCTCTACCATCACAAGTTTCCTACAAGGAGTAAGTGAGAGCATTAATAAAAAGGGGTGACTCATGCTTCTACATAAATGAGAATGGAAATGCTTCACACTATATAAACAAACAATATTATCAAATTAAAGGGACCAGAGTAATTCAATTTCACAAGTAGCCACTTACGTTTGTTTTACCCTATAAAACTAAAACCACACCCCATTGCATTCATCTTACCCCAAACAGCATAAATTCCATCCTTAAGAAAATCAACACTTGCATAAGCCACAATTTCTTCTAGAGTTGAAACCCCAATTTTTATTACTTCTGTAGAAGTTTGATTTTTTACAAGGAGCATTTTTTTAAAACCATTTTTTCAAATATGAATTCCTACTACGTTAAGTTATTACCAAAGTTGAAGAAATAGCTTGAGGGTGTAGTTGTTTCTCTAATATCTCTGTTTGTGAAATTCGGTTCTGAACTCATATTGACTGTTACAAAATTTTAAAAGTTTACTTTACTCTCCCAAAGAAAAGCTTCTTACTCTATAATGTTTTAATACTACAAGGCTTTGACTTTAAAATTTAATTTCTGAAAGCAAGAGATGAACGTTAGATTTCCTCAAATCCCAGAAAAATGATGAATACTTTAATCCTACACAAGACTTTCTTATTTATTCAAAGTTGAATACAATTTTTGTTTAAAAGCAAAGAAATGGATGAAATACATTCTTAAAACCAAACTCTACTCCAAAAAAGATTTACTTTCTCAAGAAAGAGGATTTCATACTACGAGGTTTGGACAGAGAACAAACAAGAGTTTTTTTTAAAACCCCTTATCAAATATTTTATACAAAAAAAAAAAAGAGATGATGAAAGCTCTTAGAAATCTAGCCCTGTGACATGTAGAAATTGAAGGAAATAAAAACCCTAGATGGAATTGAGGATCATTTCGGAACTGTTTGGGAGAATTCAAACGATTTTAGCATCTAGGAATGAAATTGAGGAAAAACAAAGTTGTAATCATACCTTCCTTAAGGCAAACCGCGACCGAGGAGGAAGGTGCTGCGAACGACGACGATGAGTGAAGATGTTGGCTTTGATGGACGATGAAGCCAATGACCGAATGTTCTCTTTCCTTCGACGTAAACGAACGGCAGGGAAGAATGTGACTCGTTTTTAAGAGATAGAATGATCCTACTCTATATATAAAAAGAAGAAAATAAAATGGTAGTATATCTTGTTTCCCTACTCTTGCTTGGCATGTCTAGACAAATGATGACTACAGGTGGCAATAATGAAGCTCAATTATAGACTTCCATCCCAACTGTAAAAATAAAATTTGGGCATTCCATGGCATTTAATTCACCCATTCCAATATCTTCATCCCTGCTTTGCGTTTCCTTCGCTGCTTTCTATTGCTATACCTCATCATCCATACACGGTATTTACTTTCATTTTTTTCACTCATCCAGCTTCTCAATAATTTTTCTATCTACCATTTTCCCAATTATATTCCTTACCATTATCCAATATTCCATATCAATCCTTCACAAATTTATCTCATTACCCCATTTCACCATAAATCCCCACCATGGCAATTCCTGTTTCTGCTACTTCTAGATGGTCCAAACTGAATCAAGTTCAACCAAAAAAGATTGATTGAATTTACAACTCCGTGCGATACGAGTGTATCATGTTCCACCAAGTGAGCGGTTTGGAGTCTTTAGAAATAAATTTTTGCAGACCGAATGGTATTCTTCATTTTTCATGACACCTATAAATATTAAAGATGTTATAGCATTTAACATTTTTGAATATATAAATCTAAATTTGTTGCAAGGGGACAGGATACATTCAATTATAAAACCTCCATATATCAAAAAAATTCAATCAAAATTTAAAGAAGGAAATGTGTATGCAATCATAAATGTGACTATACTTGGAAATCGTCAATCGTACAAAACAACCAATCATCCTTACATTTTAAGCATGAGCAGAAAGACAGAACATAGGGGTATGACGGTTCTACCATTTCCAAAATTTCCCATGAAATTTAAACCATTTCAATTGCTACACAATTTGAGAGCTAAAGACGACAAGATGTTCCAGGGTATATTTTTTGATACTTTGTTTAATTAATGAAAGATGAGAGAAGTTGCTTCCCTTGTGCTTTGGGGCAAGGATGTTTGCTACATATAGAAACAACCTTTTTTTGTCCTCTATCTCTTAAATGTATTTGATTTCAATATTCCATACTCCATAGTATATTGAAACAACCCCACCTGCCATACACTCTATAATTCACAAAGTATATTCCCATTCAATTTCCCTAATATTTTTTACATTTATGAAACTAAAAAAAAGGCTGACAATCCAATGTTTTTATTTAACTATCTCTTTTGGTAACTGTGTCAATTATTTATCTATATTTAAAAAATACAAAAATTCAGTTTTGGACAATTAAAATTAGACCTTTTGTTTGCCATCACTAACTTGGACGTACTGTAATCAATTTTATAAATCCATAATACTTTTGTGGAACCCAGTTATCGTATAAATCCCACCTATCTACTTCGTATGTAGCCCAATCATGACTACTCCAAGGATAATGACTACGAGATAATAGGGATGTTTGCTACATATATAAACAGCCAAATTTTGTCCTTTCTCTCTTAAATGTATTTTATTTTAATATTCCATAATATATTGAAACAACCCCACCTGTCATACACTATATAATTCACAAAGGTATATTCTTATTCAATTCCCCTGATTTTTTTACATTTACAACACTAAAAAAGGCTAACAATCTAATGTTCTTAAATTCTCAATCCCTTTTGGTTACCATATCAATTATTTGACTAACTATATTTCAAAATATACAATGGATTAAATTACAAAAATTCAGTTTTGGACAATTAAAATTATATTTCAAACTCTTATTTAATACTCCGTAAATAACATGTTTAACTTATCATTTAAACACATTGGAAATTAAAAAATTTCGAATTTCTCTAAACACCTACCATTCAAAGTCCTATTTTTTAATGCCTCCATCCCTAAAAGATTTAAAATTATTTGACTTTGTAGTCAAACTATGGCACTCTTTGACCACAAATCATTGAAAAATTATATTTAGTAAAATTCAAAAAACTGGATTTATTTTGCAATATAATTTTAAAAGATCAAATTTTTTTAATATTTAAAATTTTTAACTATATTTAATTCATGGTCAAAATAGTGGTCAAATTGTGACAACCTTTTAGGGAGGAAGAATAATAATTTTAAAAGTGAAACTATCATCTTATTCAACAAAAGCAAACTTTTCAAAGAAAAGCACCAAAATAAACAACTTTTGTTTGTCATAACTACTTTGGATTTACTATATTTGATTTTATTATTCCATAATACATTAGCCTCACCTATTCAATACCTCACACCTATCATATCCACCGTACAATTCACAAGATAGGAACACATATTCCACTCCATTTAGGTCTGACATTTATAGGACATCTTTTTTTGTTCTAACAATCTTACATGTATTTGGTTGTATTACTCCATAATACATTTAAAACTCCGTATGTTTTTTCAATACCCAAAGTTCCATTAAAACTTATCTTATTCAGAACCATTTTTAATATAAAATGTCATGTCTAATTTATCATTTTTAACACACCGTAAATATTTAATAATTATTTGAAAAAAATATTTAGAACTTTTAATTTTTACCATGACAAATGTTCTGTATTTAAATAAATTAAAAAGTGAAAGCTATCATCTTATTCAACAAAAGGAATACATTCTCTCAGGTCTCAAAAAAGAAAAAGAAAGAAATAGACAGCTTTTGTTTGTCATAATTATCTTGGATGCACTGTATCTGATTCTATTACTCCCACCTATAAAATCACTCGCACCTATTATAGTTCGTATAATTCACAAAATAAGTGTGAGTTATATTCCATTCCATTCCATTCACACATTTATAGGACAAATTTTTTTTGTATCTTAACTCTCTTAAATGTATTTTCACGAAATAAACATCTTTTATTTGTCCTAACTATCTTGGATTTACTATATTTGATTTTATTATTCCATAATACATTAGTCGCACATGTACTATAGCTCTCACCAATCATACCCACCGTATAATTCACAAAATAGGTACACATATTCCACTTATGGGACAACTTTTTTTGTCATAACTCTCCTTACGTATATATATTCAATTCCCTCAAAAATGAAAACAATAATAACCCAAACACAACAGTTCACGAAACAAATGATCAAAAGAAATAGACATCTCCATTTAATGTTCTGTATTTTGAATAAATATATACTCCTATTCTTGAGTATGTATCTATTAAAAACTTTTTTTTGCTGAAAGTTGGTAAACTTTGACTTCAAATTAATTAAAAATGATACTCTCTCCGTCCCAATTTAAATTGCATGTTTGCCTTTTTTCTCCGTCCCAAAATAAATTGCATGTTAGTTGTTTTCGTAAACTTTTAAAAATAAAATACCTAAACTACCCCTAAAATAAGTCACTCTTCTTTACCTTATCTTTTCATTCATCATCACCCCTTCTAAAAAGTAATCACCCCTTCTAAAAAGTAATGACAATTTCGAAAAATCAACTCTATTTTTTATTTTTCTTAAATATGCCCAAAAATTAAAACAGGCGATTTAAATTGGGACGGAGGGAGTATTAAATATTAATACAAAAATAGTTTTATATGAGTTATTATATTAAATATTTTCGAAAGTTTATTTTATCTAAAGTTGGTTCTAATGCAATAAATAAAGATAGAGGGATATTTGTAGTATTTTAAATGTTAAAAAATTAATAGGAAGATCTGTGGAGGGCACTAAAGTAATAGATCCAATGTCCCCAATTAAAAGATATAGTATGACAACCCGGATCCATTTTTTAATAAATAGAGAAATGCTCCATATATGCAAATGTTAATTAATACCTTTGCTTCTCCATCAGAACCGTGATGCTGGCATGTTTAAAGCATAAAGATAGTTGTTAATGTATACCTTTGCTTCTCCATCAGAACCGTATTTCGATAGAAAAAGCATTATTATGGATTACATTACCAACGGCAAAGAATCCAGAGAGAGAAGTGGTTGATCGGTTTAGAAGTAAGATAGCAGATCCGAGTGATTATTAGGTTAAAACCGTGGAGTGGCTGAATGGGCCGGATATTATGGGCCTAATTGGTTTAATACGGAATACAAATTTTGTCCGATACTTCCTCCATCCCGTAATATTTGTCCATTTTTAATTTTTTCACTCAAAATTGATAAATTTTAATTATAAATTAAATAAAACTGACATTAGATATTTATACAAAATAGTTTTATTTGATTTATTATATAAAATATTTTCAAAATACTAATTTATCTAATTAATATACAATATATATATTATTTAGTTATAGGTCAAAGGTAGAAAACGGTTAACTTAAAAAAGATAAAACTGGACATACGTGTAAAATATTTATGAACATATAGTAAATAAACTATATTATTTTTTGTATAACTGTACTCTTAAATTAATGTCATATCAATTTCTTTTTTCAATTTTTTTCATCGTATTCTAATCATTCTTCTAATTCTTTTTAGTGAATTTTCCTTTAGCATATTAATACCAAGTATTAGTAAATATTTATGTGTATTGCTTTTTATGCTTTATTGTCTAAAGATGATATGGATTAGCATGTTAGAGTGATTAATTAATTTAATTTATTTCACATAAATGTAAAGATATATATGTGTGTGTGTGTGTGTGAGATTAATAAAGTTATAACATACAATTTTTGCCTAATCTTAACCAATGCAAATTTTTTATAACTATCCAATCGTGTAGCCTTACATGAATCACCATCAACATTACAATTCAAGAGAGTAAATGGTGGGGTCTTCTTCTTACACGTTTATGGTGGTACCGGAAAGACATTTATATGGAAAACATTATCTGCATCAATACGATCAAAGAAAGATACTGTGTAAAATGTTGCATCATGCGGTATCGCTTTGTTGCTTTTGTCCGGGAAAAGACTGCTCAAATATGATTCTATATACCATTATACCCTACAGAGAGTTCCATGTAACAGAATTCCTCATTGATTGCTTATATGTGATTGTAAGCAATCATAAATGCATGAAAATTTACTAAATCAGACTTGCATCAATATTCATCAATTTTACTCCCTCCATCCCATTTTAAATT